GATGTCCATGCCGCACACCGTCGGATTAAGAGCCCGATACGCAGTGCCAGTAGAGAAAGCGCCATCCTGTGAGGGGCCCCACAAGATACGATCCTCGCCTGCGGTGGTCCGTGGAGGGAGTGTTGGTGTTATATACTTAAGCTTTGCTTTAGTGGATATTTCACTTGTTATTCCTTGATGAATGAGAATTATGTTTGATTAAATAAGTTCCACGTTCTGTTGTTTTGCATGTAGATAAGTGGGTCGTCATCGGGCGTACCGAAGATCACTATATCAGTTACTTGCGAAACAAGAATCGTTGGTTCACAACCTAGATGGAATTGAACAACCCATCGGAACGGTTGTAGTGTCAACCGTACGGTTTGTCTTGACCGATTAGTTGCACTAGTACATTTATGTATTGAACAGGATCCCAGAGAGGGATGTTCGTTTTATACTAATCGTCGTAAACGAACTAGGCCTCAGTTAATTATTGCGTGCTCTTAACCCGTAAGATATTAAATAGGCATGTGCACATAATTGTTGTTGCTTTGATTCTTTGGGTGAGATCCAAGCCGGGTCGACATACTTAATTAATTGGGTAATAACATTATGTGTTCGATGTGCTATTAGGATATTTACGGTCACCATGTGCGTTAGTGTGATGATGTCCCCGAAGTGAGTTCATGAAGGAATATTATGCTAAACCCTGCAGGTGGATTTATTCCGGCATAATATGAATGCTATGAGCGAGCGCTAGCTTCGGTAATATAATATATTAATTAATTCTTGATTATTAGTGATCGAATTAATTAATGGACATTATATCTTAAACATGGGGAGGTAAATCGGATAATTATAATAAGGAGTCTCAAATGTAATTTGGGATAGGTGAGGGGAGTGCAATAATATTATTGTGGTGGACTTTAATATTATTAATATATTAATTGTGGGGTTGCTCCACAGTATTAATATATTAGAAGCCCTTATCCTATTCTCCTTAGGGTCCCTACTGTAGCTCTATATATACAGCATTAGGCTCATGGAAGAGAAGAGAACAATCCCATCAGCTCTATATTTCGTCCAGCTCTCTTTCTCTCTCTTCCAAGGAGTTCTTCTATTTCTTGTGCTCCACTGATACAAGATCTAGAAAGCTGTTTGAGAATACAGTAGAAGATCTTAAGGTATATAGAGATTCCGATCATACATCCAAACCGGAGACCAAAACCAGCAAGTGACCATACCACGACGACCAGGACGACGAGACGAAGAGATCGCCGTCGAGATCGCCGCCGTACGCCGCCGCACGCGCCGCCACGCGCCGCCGGAAGGTTCCAGCTGCCGAGGACAACGCGCGCGCGTGAGAGCGCGTGAATCGAGCTTTTTCCGATCGGTCAACGCCGTTGACTTCGCCGTGACGTCAGCTTTCTGGATTGGTCAAGTTTGTTCGATTCCGAGAAGATTTGATTTGCGGTCAACTGTCCGGGCCAGCCAGATCTACATAATTTTTAAGCAGTAAGTTTTCTTCATCAAACCTTTAGATCCGCTGCGCATAGGTTTATGTTGAATGTTTGTCTGTGATTTGTGCATATCGAGATCCTCGTGGGTTCCAACAGGGAGGACACCGGCGATGCGCAAAATCAAAGTCGACGGGAACAAACCATGAAAAGCGGACCATTTCCATTCTCCCTGCTCGTCTACAAACGCCGCAACCGTGGAGTGCAGGCTATTCTCATCTGGTCTGCGAGTTGCATGATGAATAAGCGGGCCAGCCGTACCAAGCCAGGGGTCGAGCCAAAACCGAACTGTGGCGCCATTGCCCAAGCTCCAGCGAACTTGTTTAAGGATATCAGGCCACACTTTTCCTAGGGCCCGCATTAAAGCTGATCCTCGTTTACAGCGAGGAGTTTCCAGTCCAGACGAGCGCGAGATGCTATATTTAGCTTTTAAAACTCTCGTCCAAAGAGAGTCACAATTCGTGAGCAGACCCCATCCTAATTTCATTAACATGGCGTAATTCATCCGTCACAAGTCTCTTATGCCCAACCCTCCTTCATCCTTTGGTTTGCACACGTCACACCATGCAACCAAAGGAATTTTCCATTTTTCATTAGTACCTCCCCAGACAAAAGCCCGACTACGGCGCTCCAACCCTTCAGTAAGTGAGCTTGGCAGTAAAACGGATTGCATGGAAAAGTAGGGTAGTGCATTTAACACTGACTGGGTGAGGGTCACCCTCCCAACGAGGGAGAGGGTCCTCATGCGCCACCCGGTTAGACGCGCTTCTACCTTGTCCACGATATGCGAAAAGGTGGATGAATTTATTCGGCCATGAAGGACTGGGCGAGAAAGTGTTTCTAAAAGTGAATTATGTTAATCCTTATTATATATTAATAGATATTGGATATGATGTGTGCATATGCTTAATGAAGTAGCACAATAAAATTAATAAATATTATTATACAATTTTGTAATCTTGCAAATTTGTGTCCTACATTGCATAATTGATGGATTGATTCTTTATATATTATAAAAAATAAAATAAAAAATGTTGAACTGAAAATAATAAAAACAAATCTTGTTTGCACAATCCTAAAGAATCACCATCTCCCTCACGCAATCGGATTAAACCCTCGGATTTTCGGCTGCAAACAATCTATATAGGAAAGCCCTTTGGATCAAATCGCCTGTAGAATTGAAATTGCTTGACGATTTGATCCAGAAAAAAAAAAAAAAATCATGAGGAAGAGAGAGAGGGAGAACCCTTGTGGGATTTGTGGGCACTACCACAAGTACGAGGAGGGGGAGGTGTGCGGCGTCTGCGGCCATCGAATGGCCGCCGTGGCGGACAAATCCGCTGCGCCGTCCGTCCACGTCAGCGCCTTCCCATCGGAGATCTTGCCGGAGTTCCTGTACCTGGGCAGCTACGACAATGCTGCCCGCGCCGAGCTTCTCAAGACTCAGGGCATCTCTCGCGTTCTCAATGTAAAATACTTTCCTTTGTTTTTCGTGTGAGAATTTGCCCCCTTTTGCATGCACGTTCATTACACCTTGTGTGTAAATTGCCGTTCATTACACCTTGTGCGTGATACCGTGTTAAAAATCTTCAAGCTTGTTGGGTTTGATTTGTTGTTCTTGTTAGAGATTTGTTAGATGTGAAGGGGTCTTAGAACTGAGACTAGTAGCCTTGGATTACTGAGTTTTCTGTTGTTGTTTCGACTTTATGCAGTTTTGATCTTTTGATCGCACTTATATTTTTTTTGGTTTGGGAGATTTTTATCCAAGGGTTGAGGCTTTAGAAGAATTTGTGTTGCATAGCTATGACCTGTTAGGATAAGAAATTAACACGAAATAGCTCTTATAGTGTCTAAGACTGTTGGAAAGAATGAGATAGATAAAGATCCACCCTTGAGGTAAACATATACCACCATTTATGAGTGATAATTAATCCACTTTGTTGATTTACATTGCTGTCTTATCTGGCTAATGATTTTCTTAGGAAATGATCGTTATTGGGGTATAAGTTTCTAAGTACCGACAGTACGTCATCTATGCTGATGTGACTGTTCATTATTTACGTAGAGATAACTGCGTTCGTGTTTCTGTCCAATGTCTGTAATCCACGGGTCAAAATCTTGACTCTGCATGCAGTTTCCTATTGTCATCTTCTATTTGTAATTATCTAATGTAGTTCATCACAAAAATCTAATATCATTGTCCATTCTTGTGTCTAGTCACCATTAAATGACATAACCAAACATCGTATGATGTAAATCAGATAATATGTTGGGTAGGTATCATAAAACTGGCTTGCGCTTCATAGCATATTTCTAATCAACGCGATAATTTTTAGCATGCACCTTCTAGATTTGGAGAAAATAGGCCGACTGTAGCTTTACGATTCGTTTTTCCCTGGCATAACTTTACTGTACATGTTAATTTCATAATTTGTTTACTTTCATGATAATATGGTAAAGAGAACATCTATAGTGCGAAAGTTCATTTTATTACCTTTGTTTTAGCCTGACTGTAACTACTATCGACATCCATTACCGGTCTTACTTTTATCCATGTATTTCCCGAACTCTCCCATTTTGTTTACAAGGATGATATAATGCCTTTAACAGAAATTTTACTTTGTTAGTTGTTCAACTTTTTGAGGACCTTTGATCTTATGAGAAGTTTGTTTTTCCTTGTGCAGACTGTTCCTGCTTGTCAAAATTTGTACAAGAACTCTTTTACCTATCACTGTCTGCAATATGATAAAGAACTGCCATTTGAGGATGCAATTCAGTTTTTAGGTGAGTTTTCACTATTGAACAATGCAATATAGTTGTAATTTTTTTTTCTTCATCACATTAGTGCTTACAGATCGAAAGTTGTTTTTGTTGTGTGGCAAACTAATATGAAGAATTTATATTTTGTAATGCAATTTGTTTGGAATATATATGCTGCATAAGAACCAAAATTGAAATTATATTGGAATATGAGAACTAAATTTTTATTTAATCATTTTATTTGTTGTTAAGTGGAACCTCCTCAACTTCTTAGTCAAAGATTCTGTCAAAAATGTATACGATGGGGGGCTCCTCCAGTAACTTCAGTTAAACTATTTTTGGAAAGCAAGAATGAGCCGTCAGCTCTAGTGGGGGCTTGGCCCATGGTAAATGCTATCAAGCTGATTTCAATGGATATCAATCTCTCGTTTGGACATATTGTTTGGTATGATAAGTTCAACAATGTCCAGTAACACTTATATTTAAAATAATGATGAAAAAATGATGGATGCATAAAGGTAAGTCCTAATTGTTTATGCATCTTGTCTTCCATATTGCTGAAAAGGGAAGGCTCCGGAACCTCATATATCAGTCGATAAATTTTGTTCTTAAAGCATCAGTATCTGGCTATTATAAAAATAGCATTTTTGAGTAATTGCAGTTTTTTATAAAGCATATAGTTGAATTCAGGTTGATCCATTATTCCATTAGTTTAAGATTTTTTGATTGCCTTAAATTAAGACACGTGTATCTATTGAGAATGCACGTACACTTTTGGAGTTTTAGACTCTCTCTAATGTAGTAAGATGGAAATAACTTTACTACATTCTACGCCACAATGAATGTCGTTTCCCAAGAAAAACATAAAGGTTAAAAAAATTGTAAAAATGCGTTACTGGGAATTGTACACTTGCTTCATGATATTTGCATAAATTCTAAATATTCATTGACCTGGTTTGCAGAACAATGTGAAAAAGATAGGGCTCGTGTTCTGGTGCACTGCATGTCCGGCAAAAATAGGTGATTTTTTTTTTTCTCCAAACATGGCTCAAGTCAAGACATTATTTTCACTTCCACTGTTTCTGCTTATTTATGAGTCATTCCCTTTTCTAGCGTGAATAAGTTTATCTCGGAGTGTCGAGACATTTGCTTTTGTAGTAAACAATCTTTCTACAAATATGTTTAGACATGAGAAAAATCTAGATGAGGTAAATGACGGCAATGACATTCTATTAGTAGGAACTTATTCAAATTTAGAAGAACTCGTTGCATATAGCAATAAATTATTTCGAACAATCTTATACTTGATTACCATTGTTTTAACAGGTCTCCTGCCATAGTAATTGCTTACTTGATAAAAACCAAAGGCTGGAAACTCACACAGAGTTATCAATGGGTGAAAGAGCGCAGGCCTCAAGTCGAACCAAGTCAAGGTGTTAGTCAAATCTCTTTTTAAAAATCTCTTAAATTGATGAAAGAACTACTAAGGTCCTATTATAATATTGAATTTCTCCATTTTTGACCTTTTTTTTTTCCAGATATCTATCAGCAATTACTCGAGTATGAGCAAAAAATACTTGGTGGGGCAGCCAAGAACAACAATAGTACTGTTCTGAGTTCACCGCCCTTTAGCTTTGGCTTCTCAAGACCAAACAACCCACCACCTGAAGTCCCGGTTTTCAACAATAGTACTGGTGGTGCTTCCATATTTTCCCGAACTGCATTTGATGTCCCTCCTCACGAATTCACGTTTGGGGCTGGGCCCTCACAGAAAAACACCCCAGACGATACTTCTTTCAATGGAAGCACAAATATTTCTTCTGTCAATGATATTACCATGGATAGTTCCTGATGGGCTGGATCATATGATTATACTTTCATCAGGGAAAAAATATTGGTTTGATCAGAAATATTGTTCGTCTCCATCTGTGAGCTTCTTTTACAAGAAAAAAAGTCAGGGATGCAAAAGTGTGAACAGATACGAGTTCTTGTGCTGTTGTGCGAAAATGAGGGTCTGATCGGGCCAATGAAGGAGTGCATTTTGGTTTAAAGAAAACACTCGCCCTTGATATATATCGTACTCCTTCGACTCATTTGTTTTTTTTTTTTTCCTTTCTATACAATGGATCCTTTAGAACTTGTGGTTTGTTGATTTCGGCAAATAGATTGTGATTGGATTGAAAAATAATAAACCGAAATTATAAAACTGTTTTGGTTTATTTGCTCTCTCGTTCAATTGAACAAGTTGGATGAATTTTAATGAATCTTTGTGCCTATTGAGCCAATGATTTTATCATATGCTCCAGGTCTGTTCTCTTCTGGGTAATTAGCCATTGTGTCTCTGGCTTTTGTTAATTTATATGCTGTTTGTGCACATTGAATTGTGTTTTGAGTTTGCTTTTATAGTACCCCAATGGGGTTCTATGTGTAATCTAACAGCTAAAACTCCTCACGAGACTCACGAGTGTGTGATCTAAAGGCTAAAACTCTCGCGAGTAATACCTACAGGGGGTTGGATCAAACCTTCCCCATCTACATGATTGTTGAGGTTTAAATAACTAGAAAAAATGAGTTAGAATCAGATGAGAAGAAATTATGGGACAATTTGACAGGAAAAAGAAGAGGTAATTTGTATAAATTCATTAACCAACAATGCCATATAGTATACATTTGTAACATAGTGTCAACTGTCAAGTAGCAAGACTGCAAGAGAAATATTACATTATGGCTACACAAACAATGCCAAAAGTTACAAACAATGTCCATTTACAGAGATAACTGCATGTATATATGTATATTATCGTACAATTCTCTAATGGAATCTCGTTGTCTGCCTTTCAGCACTGCACAATAAAGATCGAAATCCACGATTTTCATTTCAATTTTATTGTGTCTAAGATATGCACGTCTCCAGGGAAGACTTTGCAAGCCACAACAAGCCAGGATCGTTTCTCTTTAACATCAAATAGGCTTCGGCTTTTCCCCTTTCATCCGTGACAATACCCTCACAAAATCCAATCAGTGTCAGAATATCCACGGCAGCTGCAAGAAAATCACCACATAAATGCATGTATCTTCATTAACTGCGACTTTTAATAACGTTAGTTACAAATCTCAAACAACAAAACAGCATAAAAGTACAGCACAGTAGGGTCTAATTCGTGAATTTATATGTACCTTTGTAAGTAATAATGTTCCTCTGAATCGTTGGATTAGCCTGAACCAAACATATAAGCCAAACGCAACAAAGTTAGGGAGAGTTATTTTGTTATGTAGAAATCAGAAATACTGTATGTGGAGGTACCTTTCTGAGTTTTCTATACTTCACGTCATCCGGATGTTCAATCACATTACTGCAAGCCATTAACAATTGGAAAATCTCGTATCATTTATCAATTGTTAAAAAAATAAAATAAAATAAATAAAGAACCTTACCATATTATCTTAAACAATGTTTGCAGGACCCGCTCAGTGTCCGGGGGTATTACTTCACATTTCAAAGACTGAATTGCCCTCTGCAAACGATCATAAACTGTGGTAACTGGGTCTTGGATTATCTGCAACTCAGGATCATCCAGATCAGGCTCGGAAGTTTGGCTTTTTAAAATAGATTGGCCGGGATTAATCTCTGTCTGCATATCCTCTGTGTGACAACCATTCAGCCGTGGCTCAAGAGAACCATTGTCCTCGAGGCAATTTGGGTCCTCTTCAGAATTATTTAATCCAGATTCTTGGATTTGTACATTTATGTTGTTTGGTTCGGTAGAATCAATCCCGGAGTGCACAAAAGGCCCGGGTAGCTCGTATTTTTTGTTCTCACGCTCATCAGGATCGGGTTCCGGCGCATTCAGATCACTATCAACAATTGGATCAGAAACAGGTGTCGTTTTTTCCTGCACAGTAAATGTGTTGTGATATTCCGTTCTTTTCTCTTCAATTACGCAAAAATCTGAGGCACGCTAAAAAAGTCCATTTCCATTATCTGTTTTCAGTGTTTTGACTTTTAAGACACAG